GGGAGGGGAAGCTGCAGCGTTTCGGCCTGGCCGGCACACACAGCACATCACCGCCGGAGCATCCCAGCGACCGGCATCGCTCGTGCAAGTTAACAGCGTGCGGCTCAGCGTGCTCGCCTTCTTCAAAGCAGACCTGGGCCCCAGGCTGCCCCCGGTATTCAGCCCCCAATTCATGTGCGAGTTTAGCTGGATTAAACTCTATTTGCAGCAAAATATTTTACAAAGCGTTTTGGACCCTGTGTGTGAGGTGGGACGTGCCCAGAGCATGCTCAGAGGTCTGAAGACGAGAGTGCTTTGGTTTTGTTTTAACACCAACACATTTACATTCCAAGGAAATATGTTAAATAATAAGCGCTATAATCTTCCATAGGAAGAAACAAACTACTAGCATGTCAGTATGCAGAATGAGCTTCTCTAGTGCTGCAGTTCACAGCAGAGAAATGACCGAGCACGAGATCTCATCGGCAACGTGAAGCCAAATGTTGTGCTCTCAAGAGCAAACTCGGGTGTTGCTACTCTCGATGGTCTTTTTTCCTTTTCATCATTAAAAGGCTCAGAAGACATTGCCACCAGCCTGTTCTGGATTTGACAGAATGCAGTTTCAGACTCTTAAGTTCCTTCACGCAAGGGGAAGTAACAAAGTGCTGGAATAACAGAATTACCAGCTTGCATGATGGTACTTCTTGTTTTACTCCCTAGCCAGAGTTCCCTTGAAGACTGGCTTGAATGGATCACCCCACAAACCTTTTCTTTAAACCTCTTTGTTCCATTCTTGCTCTATCATTACACAACCAGGCAGCTGAAAGAGCATTATTTACATGCCCTCGCTCCACACTCTTGCTGGCTTCAGCAATGTCAATTTACTTGCAGCAAGCTAAGATAAGAATTCTGCCTTTAGGGGAAAAGAGCTTTCTCGTAAGCAGAACTGTGTCTTGGAGCCCTATTTCACACGGAGCCCTAATGAATTTCCAATGCATCTTCACTTTAAGCTGCTGTTTCCTTCTTTACAGCTCTGCCTCTAACAATAAAGTAAGAGCACTCTCCAAAGAGGGCCCCAAGCCTACAGATCACAGTGAGGCAGTGCATGACGGGGACCTCATCTGTCAGACATTACAACCGTGTCATGATTGTCGCCACTCCTCTCTGCTGGGGACAAGATGCAGCTTATTTCTAGTCACCTTCCCGTCTGCCTCCAGGAGCAGACAGCTCGCAGGATCACTTGAGCTGGTTGTCACAGAGGCAAGGGCAAACCCCGTGGGACTCTCAGCCTTTAGAGAATGGCCCCAAATTGCGAATCCCTCCCACCTGCAGCCACCAGGGCTTCCCCAGGGCCGTGCCCAGGCTCAGGTGGACCCTGTCTCTCCTCCGCTTTAGGCAAAGAGTCAGAAGGGTAGGAATTAGGATCCCAAAACCTCCTTTTCCATCTGCTGTCTAAGCAATTGACCAAACATTAAAGCATCTGAGCAGACACTCAGCTTCCCAGCAGCAGAGGAGAAAGACTCAAGTTCAGTCACTTACTTTTTCTTGTCTTTGTCCTTCTTCAGCGGCTGCTGTGAGGTAGCCTGCAAGGATTGGGACTGCAAGGTTTCCACCGCTACTTTCCGCCTGTTGAAGGCGTTCATCTCGTCCTCCAGCTCCCTCCTCTTCTCCTCCACCTTCCTTTTCTCTTCCTGGTGTATCCTTTTTAAGTGCTCAAATTTCTCATGCAGCTGGTAGGAGACAGACCCTCTGAGCATCGCATCCAGCACGACCGTCAGGCTGTGCTCCCCCCGGAGCCGCAGCCACACCTCCCGCACGAATCCCCACCACCCCAGAGACAGACCAGCTGGCGGGGTACGACAGCCAGTGCCCCTGCACCGGGCAAGCCCCTCAGCAGAGCTGACCTCTGGGCAATCACAGCCTCTTCACCAAAAGCAGCAAAGACACAAGAAATTCAGCTCTGCCTGACACCACATATCAAATGGGAGAAAGCGTGAGCCCTGGAGAAGCACGCCGAGGATCTCAGCTCAGTCTGCAGCCCTGCAAGGGGGCTGTGGACACTTGTGGGCTCTTTCGTTCCTCACTAGTTTTGAAGATGGTCCATTTATTTCCTCCCCAGTCATGGCAGCTGCCCGTGGCCTCACACCACCGACCCGGGGGACTCCAGCCCAGCTGCCCCCTTTACTCTGCCGTCCAGTGAGCCTCCAGGGGTGAAGCCTACCTGACATGGACGCTCACCAAAACGTCCTGCATTGCCCTTCACTCACCAAGCAGCAGCCAAGTCTCCTACACACTGCACAGGACGGGGAAGACTCTTGTTTCTGAGGCATCTAAAGCAGCGATGCTGTTTTGAAAACATTACCCCGTGTCCCCTCCTCTGAGTGGGGGAAGGTGTGTGTGTTTGTGCTTTGGCTGGTGAGGTCTGCTCAAGAGCTGCATGTGCTTTCCAGGATTCATATGTTGCCCAGACCCAGATCCTATGCTGGCTGTATTTTGGGCTCCTCTCACAGGTTTTTGGCACACCCACCTCTCTCTCCTTCTCCTTCAGCTCTGCCTCCGTCTCCTTGACTTTGTTAACAAACATTTGTCTCATTTCTTCCTCTTTCTTCTGGAGCTCACCCAAGAACTCTTTCCTTTTGGTCTCGTATGTTTCTTGGAGGCTGGGGAAGAAAGCAAATGAAATCCAGACTCTTTGGACACCAGTGAGCTAGGGATGGGGAAACGCACACCTGTCTGTGTTGCTTAAAGACAAACAGGCAGGGAAGGGAACGCCACCAACATCAGATGCAAAGTTCAAACCCAGTGCTAGTATTTTCCAGCCCAGCATTGTGGATACCACCTGCAAACCTCCCATTTTTTGGGGGTGTAAGTACCAAAGTATCGCTCTAAATTGATGCTAGATGTGAAGGCTGCTCACCTGAAGGGCTGGCTGTCTGGATCCGTGTCCTTGAAGCCCATCTCTTCCAGTTTGCACCTCCTGTACAGCTCATAGTGGCGGGTATGAGTCTGCTCCCGAAGATCCTCCATATTGACTCGAATCAGCATTTCCCGCAGTTTCACAAAGTCACAGTGACTTTCATTCTCAACTGACAGAAGCAAAGGGAGAAGTCAGTAACCTGCACACATGGCGGGGGAGCACAAACGCACACACAGATTAACTCCAGAGACTCCCCTCCCAAGGACCTCTACCTGTTGTCCCACACGGGGCACAACACAGCCTCTTGGATGCAGGGATTCCCGTTGACCATTACCACCTGCCGGTAGGAATGGGAATTCAAAGGAAAGACTGGCCAACCCACAAAAGGCTGCACAGGACATTTCTGCACCGTTCAGCACAGGGCACCTTCGTGCACACGCGCTGGCGGGAGGGCAGAGCTGGAGAGGGTGCCAGCGTGTGCACATGCACGCCCAAGGGAGGTTTGCGGCGGGTGCCCGGCTTGCAGCGCCTTACCTTGCACCACTCCCCACGGGTACTGCCGAGCTCTCACCAGCTTGTTCCCAACTTTCACCTCCTCCGTGCTGCCGACCACAGCGAAGGGCAGATGAGCCTGAAACAGAGCCAAGTGCGTGGGCGAAGCCCTCAGAGATCAGCCTGACCATTAGATCCCCCTCAGCCAAGCACAGGATCTACTTCAAAAAGTCCTTCCTCTGAAGCTATCAATCTCCAATACTCAGAGCAGTCTCTACTACGAACTGGGATATTACGACAGAGAGCGGCGTAGAGCCATAGCACAGCTTACTAGCAACGCTGGCTGGACTGAACTAGATGGGGAAATATTGTAGGAACACCATGATCATTACTGATCTCCCTCTATCCATTTGTCAGGTTGTTCTTGCAGCTGTAGTCTCTCCACACGCCAAGAGCAGGGCACTCCCTGCCTCGCAGAAAGCACAAGCAAAGACATCCGTAAACAGGCCTTGGCACAGCAGTTTGTGTGTGGGCACTGGAAGGGACATGTGCAGGATACAGCATGTGCTCGTTCCTCTCCAAGTCTGCAAAGCATCAAGCACAGTAAGGAAACAGGGCACCGTCCTCAAGCATTGCAAGAAAGGAGCCACGGAGCAGGCGCTTCAGTAGGACGAGGTTGACAAAATCCTTCACATTTAAGAAGAAATGGATCTGGAAGCGTGGAACTGGTAGAGAAGTGGCCAAAAATTTTGGGTTTTGGCGGGAGGGAGGGGACAAGAAAAACCAAGCAAGCATGACTGCCATTTTTCTCCCCAATGCACACAGCTTGCAATTATTTTAAAAAGAGTGCATCCTCCAAATTTTTCATGAATTCAGCAAAAAAAGAATTATTATAGTGAAAACACATATCTAGTTGATGCAGAAATCAATGGCTATTGACATTTAAAAAACAAAAGGGGGTGTGTGTGCAAGAAAAGACAAAGCATTTAATCAGAAACAGCTACGCAGAAGTGTTCATTTTGATGAAAAAGCTACTTTTTATTTAAAAAATTAACATGGAAGCATGTCAGCTGTTTCTACTGCAATAGCTACACTCTGATTTGGGAGACAGGAAACTTGAAAGTGTTTTGCACATGCTTCAGCCAGGTCTGAATTCCTGTTGTGACAGGACAAGGGGGAATGGCTTTAAACTAAAAGAGGGTAGATTGAGACTAGATATAAGGAAGAAATTTTTAACGCTGAGGGTGGTGAAGCACTGGCCCAGGTTGCCCAGAGAGGTGGTGGATGCCCCGTCCCTGGAAACATTCCAGGTCAGGTTGGAGGGAGCTCTGAGCAACCTGATCTACTTGAAGATGCCCCTGCCCACGGCAGGGGGGTTGGACTAGATGACCTTTAGAGGTCCCTTCCAACCCAAACTCTTCTATGATTCTATGAATTTGATCTTTGAACTTCAAAAAAAGACAAAATGGAGTCTGACGATTTTTCTTCTTTATTATAAATTGGGTTTTCTCTGCTTAGCCTGCTTAAGTCAGAAGCCTAATGTAAATCTTAACTGTAAAATTTTTATTCAAAGTTTCTCCCTCCTCAAATGAAAAGTAGCCTAAAAGCAGACAGAGTGAATTTTGAAGAAAGTGTTTTTCAAAAATTCAATAAAACAAATTTTAGAGCTGAGCTGAGTTTCTCCAGAGAGACCACAGATTAAATAAGAGCCCCATTTTAATTAATTCTGTATGCAATAGCTTTAGGCGTCTGTCAGATCCACAGCTCAACTTTCAAACAGATTTAGCGTCTGGACAATCCCAATGAAACTTGCCCTTCAAATGCATTTTTGTGCAGCAATTTAATTTGTCACAACTTCTGGAGGCAACGTGATTGGCAGCGTTACTCACATTCATCACAGAGTTGATCTCAGCGACTGCTTCGTCATCTGTGGGGAACTGATAGATCTGCACACCGTTGCTGACCAGCTCGCTCATTATCTTTATCTTGAACTTGTGCAACTCGCTCTTGGAGATGGTGTCTGCTTTGGCAATAATTGGAATGATATTCACCTACAGCAGAAAGAAGGAAGGAAAAATAACCAGGTGAGCAGCAGTCAGGCAAGCAGCTCTGTCGGGACCGTGGGTGCCCGCGGGGTGACCCGGGTCCTACCCCCGTGGCTGCTTTACATTTTATAAAACCACAAAGGTGCTACATTTTTTGCATGCGAGTTGCAGCACAAGCCCAGCTGAACACTAGAGGGAAGAGTTTTCCAGGACTAATTTGGCTACCAGACTTCCAGATAAACCAAAGACAAACACCCTGCAATAAATACACGAGAAGATCAAAGCCTCTGCTCTTGCCTATGCATTTTGTTACACACTTTGAGGGAGGCAGAGACAGCATAACTGTCACATCTCGAGTTATCACCTATCCACTCCTGGCTGCGCTGACAAGCCGTTTTAGAAGACAAGCGCAAGGATGAAATGCTGCAGCGAGCCGATGTGAAGCCTTCCCATGCTTAAGCAGAAAGAGCAGGGACTCCTCAGACGCTTTCACAGCAGCTGTGGATCCTTCCCGAGGACTCCCTGAGCCTCTCCCTGAGGATCACAACTCAGGCATGCTGCGCGGATTACACAGACCACCCCGGGAAAGGTGCAGGGTGCCATACGGCAGACAGGAGATTTGTTTTCATGCTGTTGTTGCTCAGCTTTGGTTTCGCATCAGCGGTCACCTAGCACAATACCCCCCGCAGCTTCCTCAACCCAGGTTTCAAAGCCACCTGCAAGCTGCAGGGTGGGGAGGTCCCCCCGTGCCCAGTACATACCAAGATCGAGAGCAAACGAGGGCCACATCCTTCAGGAGAGATGTGGTTCACTATGGCCTCATGCCTGGGAGAGCTACAGCAGGGCAGGATCTGTCACAGGGACCTCTATTAGATAACGCTGCTATGCCCAGAAAAGCCAAGTGCAATACTGCAGACCACTGCTTAAACACACAACAACAAAACCCGTCTGTCTGAACAGCAGCCAAATTCATAGCAGTAAAACAGAAGAATTCAGACAAATGAGGGGAAAGCCTGATTTGCCATCGAACATTTCCCAGGAGCCAACACTTTTTGTCCTACAGAGCAGAAATTCGTAACAGCCATTTGGTCTCCAATTGGGTGCCCATTAAAATAAATGACCTTGCTTTCCCAGCTCAAGTTCTCTTTGTAGCTCAGTGTTTTTTCCATACTTCTTGGTTTTTTTCTCCCCCCTCTGGTTTAAATACAAGAGCATTTACTCACTCCAAAAGAAAATAATCTTAATTTACTCATTGCAAATTTATCTGAGAGGATAAATTCCTTATTTTTCTCAGTCACTGATCTGGCCTCTTTTACCAAGGACCACAAACCCACACAGAACGAGGTCTGCTGGTCTCACTCCACTCCTCAGCAGGTCGATGTCCTCATTACAAAAGGTAAAAAGGGCCATGGCCACAGCTGGGTGTCTCGCTGACCTGCTAAGAGCTGAGGAGGCTTGGATCCACCATCTCACACAGAAAAAGGGTCAGCTCACGGCTCATGTACCACTCGCTCAGGAGCAGTACCTGCGAGGGGAAAGGCACTGCCAGGGAGCTGCTGTGTGCAGGGCTTCGTGCTCTCCAGCCAGCCAGGCACGCTGACAAACCAGCACAAGAGGTGATTTTAGTCCACCTTCAGCTGGCCTAAGCAATTCCCCCCTTCTTCTTCCAAAAAGCACCAGCTCAGCCCTGCTTACAGCGAGGCAGGGGGTGCAGAGCCTGGAACTTGGCACGGCTTCCCCAGCAGCAGGAGAAGGCAGGCTCTGTGGTCAGCTGCTGCCCCAGCAGTACTCAAAGAAGGTGTAAACCGAGGTTGGTTCAAGTCCCCTCCAACCAGGTTCCTCACGCTTTGAAAAGGCAACTCAGTCAGCACCTGCTGTCACAGAGTTCAAAACCCGAAAGGATTTTACAAGTTGTCGTATTTCCAGTAATCAACAGCCAACATCAATACTGTGGAGTCCTGGAAATGGCATCTGGGTGTATCTCACTCCTTCTCTCTTCTTCCCTTGCGAGTTCCTTAATTTTTTAAATTATTACTGTTTTTATTTTGATTTCATGCATGCCTTGGAAACCCACCAGCTGGAATCCCACGGTTAACAAGTGATACCCGGAGCACCATACAATTATCTTCCCGTTTTCCTTTCTCTGATTTTGAGCACTGGCACCCAAAAGCTGTCTAAGTCTAGAATGAGATCATCCCTTTACAATAAGGAGAAAGGACGGAAAAGTTTGGAAACAAGAAACAAACGAGATACGAGACACTACCGAACCGAACTGCACGTCTAATCCTGCCCTCCTACAGCACCTTCCACACATCCATTTCTGTGCAAAGGCCACAGTACGCGGCACAGAGATTAGTGCCAAACAGGTACACAACTAGCCAGAGAAGAAAAGTCACCTCTCCCCTCCTTCCTGAACAGGTTTTAAAAACCCAATAAAAGGAAATGATGCCAGAACCGTTCGAGGTTTCTCTCTCCGCTCTTACTTTTACACAAATAACGTTTACCTTGGGTCAGGCAAAATCCCACAGCAACATTTTTATATCTCATGGTGGAAAAGCAATATTCTCTATTTAAAGATCTAGTAATAAAATCATGAAGTTAACTACCGGAGTGTCATCCCACTGAATGTGACAGGCGTGCAGCATTCCCTTGACTGTCAGTCCATGTGCTGAAGTCTTTGCTGGAGCTGGAATTACGGCCAGAGAAAGTCTGTGCTTCAGACAAGACAGTGAACTCGCATGCACATACATAAAATGCACCTCCTTCTCAAGTCAGTCTGACCACAGAGTTATTTCTCATCTCCAAAAATAAAACTTACAAGAACGTGCCAAAATAAGTCACCTGATAGAAAATAATTTTGCTAACACAATAAGGCTACATGCATTTTCACCCTGTGAAATACAGCTGGATTTCTCCCTATCTCCAAAGTGTTCCCAAATGCAAGTCCCAGTGAAGCCAACAGGCAAATCCTACCTTGGAAACCAAACAGCAGAGGCAGAAACTGGCCTGAAGCATCTCCACTGGCCAGTGACCCGCCTAGGATGTGTCAGCTCACGGAGGGCAAGCAATTAGCCACAGCTCGTAAACAGCATACGCTGGCTGGAAACCATCCAGGGACAACAACCAGGGAGCCCCGGGACGCCCATGCCGGCACACAGCTGTGCCGTCACTTTCCAGGGCAGGGCTGTGGTTTAAATCAATAAATCACCTTCTCATCTGACACAGATGCAATTTTATTTATCTCCTCATTTTCCCGGGTTAAACACAACGGGAAGGCAACCCCTGCTTCCCACCTACCAGCCAGCCACATTTCATCCACCTAGAACCACTTCTGAGGATGCTTCTAGCTCTCTGGCTGTAACGAAATACCCTAGACAACAGCTGGCCACGAGCTCAGCCAAACAAACACTGTATTACAGTACAATGGAAGATTTTGTTTACAAAACAGCTTTACCCAGAAGGGATTTTGTAAACTTTACACTAAAAGCAAGATTCATTATTGAAATCGTCACACAGATTCAAAAGCCTGCCCAACACCTGACGCCATGCCACTGGTGTGCTAAAGCAGAGGTGTTAACTGAGCCGGGTTCCTACAAGACCCTTGTTTAAACTAGTCTCAGAGGCTGAGCCAGCAGAGCACACAGCAAAGCACGGCCTCCGATACACCTTTTGTCTCCACGGGCTCCATTCTTCAACTGTAAAACAGGGGCCACCAGCCACGTAAAGCTTCCCAAGAGGAAAGCCAGGTCCAGGTGTGCTCACATGGCTGCAGACGTGAGTCAATGCACGTCACCTCTCTGCTCAGCCACGGTAACCACTCGCTGTTACCAGTCTGGAGCAGGCAGAAAGCTGCCTGGGGTTTGCTGACACCCCACTTCACTCTGCCCACACGCTGGCCCCCAAGCACAAATGGTTCAAGTGTACTGGGAAAGGGGCACAGCGCTGTCAGGCACAAATCTTTAAGGAGTGCCTGGAAAGCACCGTGATGTCCTGGGACGACACCAATGCAGAAACACAACATAAACCCCTGACACCCAGAAAATATCAGTGGTCTCTACTTGCTTATTCATTTCCATGTGCCTGCTTGTGAGAGGCCACCACACCATGAAATCAAAGATGTTCTCACACTGTGGTAAGACGGGAGATGAGAGCAAAGGGATAAAATTACTTCAAAGAGGACTATTTAAGTGGAAGTTTAGAAATACAAAAGGCTTGCGTGCGCACAAAGTTCTCATCTCTGCACAAGTACAAAGGATTTATTTTGGTACTACCCAAGGACCAAAGGCAGCCACAGGGAGATGTGAAAAGTAGGGAATGCAGAAGGAAAGGAAGAGAAAAGCTTTGTGGGACCACCAGCACCAAGGGGAATCGTGCAAAAGCTTTCCTCCAAACATATTTCTGGGAACATGTAATGCTGGCACCACACCAAGAGACAAGAGTTTATTAAGGGAAAGTTTTCGGATTCCTGATGAAGTCAGTGTATCAGCCACCACGGTTACAAACAGCCCACTGCAATGGGAAGCCAGCGCCTGCTCTGGAGTGGGGCCAAGGAAGAGCCGGCCAACAGCCCTGGGTGGTGAGGGCAAACAGCAGGGACTCCACGAGGGGGAACTCTACCCGCCAGGAAAGTCCGATAGAGCTGCACGTGGACAACAGCCAGAGAAGAGAGCATTCCCTCAAGGTAATCCAGGGGATCCCCAGTTACTGCAGGGTCCCAGCTGCCTTGCCTGCCCCCTCTGTAGACTGATCAGCATCTGCCATCTGAAAGGAACCACCTTGCTGCTAAAATACTGCTCTGAAAAATAAGCAATTCTTGCAAAGAAAAGAAGAGGTGCTGCTGTCACTAGTGACCTTTGAAGGCTCCTGCAGCTCCCTAAAGGCAGCTGGAACAAACAAGTGTGTCAGAAACCTCCTCCGAGCCGCAGGAATATCAGCAGTAACCAGTTAAGTAACCCACTGCCCCCTAAGGCAGTAACAGTTTACGCACAAAGCAGCAACCCCCAGCTAGACCCTCTCATGACCCACTTTTAGGATTTCCTATGACCTTGAGAATTTCTCACCATATTTACATTTTCAGAAGATATTGTGATCTCCTATACAGATCATCTGGCACTACCAGCGGTGACAGCTCATGCACTCCCTGTGCACCAGCACGCACAGCCAACGCTTCTCTTCAGCCCTTGTCTCCTCTGTACTGACCACCACCTTAGGACGTCTACGTAGCTTTGGTTGCTCTCAGCCCCTCTGTCCCTGCTGACAGGTCAGGACAGCAGAGGTGGCTCTGCAGTTTTCCAAAGTCCAACTGCAGGAGCTGGAACACATCCTTACCTGCACCCCTGTAAAGAAGAGCTAATGAAGATGCAGCTGATAGCTTTGATAAACATAAGCTAATCTGGGTAAGATTCTTACAGTGATGCGGCACTCTAGACTTCACACAGCTAGCTGGAAAACAGGTTTTTCACCTGACATTTTTCAGGAAGGCCTGTGAGAAAAAAAAGCACAGGACCTCAGCAACCCACCAGGGCAGACTAAGCTTTGGTACCTGAGTCCTAAAAACAGCTCAGCTAACATGCAGGAAGGAGTCCAGCACTTATCTGGAAGGAACAGAGCCTTCCATATAACAATATTAACAGAAGCATCACCACTTCCAGAAAGAGGGACCACAGTCTCCAACCCCTTACCTTGCTATCCAGTTTCTTCATTGTCACCAGGTCCAAGGACTTGAGCGAGTGCCCAGTTGGAGTGATGAAGTACAGGCAGACGTGAATCCTCGTGTCATGATAGTTGAATAGAGATCGGCGGATTTTCAGCTCTTCTTGTAAATAGTTTTCAAACTGCGTATCAATGTACTCAACTATCGGCCTGTAACTAAAACCATACCATTAGCAACCCAGATACTGGAGCCCAAAATTAAACAGTTTGAAGGCTTAAGGAGTTCTCCTAGACATACCATGGTATCATTTAAAAAGTAGTTATAAGACTCAAACAATTTAGCCTTACAACAGGAAAAGTGTGGCATTTACACACAGATCTTATAATCCAAAGGTTGCTGGAGTCTCCTGAGGCTGCACTGCAAAGTCTAAGGGCAATGGAGCACGGAAAGATGACTACTTCCAGAGATCAAACTTTGCCCAGATCTCAGGACTGAGCCATCTGGCTGTAGCAATGCAACATGACCAAGGAGAGACCTTGGAGTCCCAGAAAGCCTTTACCTGGGGCTTGAACAAGATGTCTGTGTAATTAAATGAGACAGGTCCAGAGACACCGATCACTGCCAGAACAGATAATTCCCAACCCTGCACTGAGGACGGCTTGTTAACTGCTCACGCTCCTGGAGGACACCATTCTCTGCTGGAAAGACCTCCTATGACCTCTCTTTTTGGCTCCTCACCCAACTCCCTCTACACTTAGTCCCCAGAACCAGAGCCACTCTATTAACAGAAACAGAGACATCTCCTCTGCAACACTCCAAGCAGGACTGCAGGCAGCTCATGTCTAAGCACCAGAGGCAAGCCCAGAAATGCCAAGCAGATGGCACGAGACCTGCCTTTCATCTTTATTTATCTGATCCCCAAATCCAACCGCATCCACAATCGTTAGCTTCAGGTGGACGTTGCTTTCCTGCAGGTCGTAGGTCCGTGGCCGCAAGCGAACCGCGCTCTCATAGTGACTGGCTTCCTCCGTCTCAAACGTGGTATTGAAGAGGGTATTCATCAGTGTGGATTTCCCAATGCCGGTCTCACCTAGGAAGGAGAAATCGTCAGCTCACTGCAGCATGAATTTGTCACAGGTACTTCAAAGAACGTTAATTACAGAGCAGAACTAAATTATACTGTGAAAGATTACTACAAATTGCTTGTGGACGGACATATAATTGTCACAGAAGTAACTGCATTCTTGAAGGCCTCCCATGCTTAATGCAAAGCTAACACAGAGCACTTTGGTCTCATCTCCCCAGCGAAGATCATACAGCACAGCAAAACACACTACGTTCCCCTCCATATAGCCTGGCTTTGCTTGGGATCCTGCACCAGAGAAGCTGGGGAGAGCACAATTTTAGTGGAGTCTTTTGAGTCTTCAGATGAGATGGAGTAAAACTCAGCTGCTCCTACTGTCAAGGACTATTTGGGTCAGTTGTTGGCTGTCCCAAACACAGTGATAGCTCCAGGTAACACTGCAGATCAGCATGAAGCGATGGGTGTTTGGTGTGCTGGGGAGGTGACAGGGAAGCCTGACAATGAGGTTTCCTCTCACTCTCTTCTGTGAGATTCCTGACTTTAACAGGCTTCTCTACCACTTTCTCTCCCCATTAAAGTCTCCGGGGACCTGCCTTTTTTGAGAGTGGAGACCCCTGTGAGGAGGGAATCTGAGTGCCTATTTCAGTGCAGAGGAGCAGGCAGACAGCTCTGGACCTGCTAGGACAACTTGCCATCAGACTGAAAATCTCTTTTCACAGCAGAAAAGACGCTGCATGAAGGTTTTGTGATTTCAGTGTGCAGCTGAACCTTGGTCTGCCTGGAAGCCTTAAACCAGCTTGTCCCTCTTCCATGGCCTCAACCCCGTTGTCCCAGATGTCCCATTAATAACTGCCAAAGGACTAAGGCCCATTCTGCTGTAACCCCTTCCCCCTCCATCCACACAGCAGCTACACCAGCGTCGGCTCTGCGGCTCTTTTACTCTCCCCTCCGAAAAGCATCACAAGCTCCACACAAGGCACTCAGTGAGCTGCTGAGATCTGGCTCAGTACATGCAAACTGTCCAAGATGGTCCCATTCTGCACAGACACGTCACAGACAGCATGTCTATGCTTTCAGATGATAGGGCCACCTGTGCAGCAAACAGAATTGGCCAAACTGGAAGAAATAAGCAATGAACTCTTCCGTCACATCAGGCATGAGCTTCCACAGGCATCCAAATAACCTCAGCAAGACAGCAGCTGTCAGAGAGATCAAGAGGTGCTGCTCTGCTCTGAAGGGATCTTGCAACCCAGCTGGTTTCATCTCTCACTGCTCTTGATTTCTGGAGTTTTCCTTTAGTATTTCTGCTTCCTTCAAGGCTACCCTGTTGCTCCACAATTCTTCATGCCAGATCAGCCAAGGGGAGACAAGAATGCTGTTTAGGGGAAACCAAAGTGAAACCAATACCAAAATGCCACATATAGCATCTGTGACACAGAGGCCAAAGCCCGACAATGTTTTCAGAGGCCACATTCACGGTGTATTTTTGCTATAGAACTCTGCAGAGCCCTGTGCTGAAGCACTGAAGCAGGGTCTTTCCGAGGCATCTTCGCCTTTCCAGTAGTAGAAAAAATTCTGCCAACTTGAACCTCTGAGATACGTAGAGGGAGAGAACATGGAGTCAAGAGGGGATGGCAGAGAAACTTGGTTGGTAGAGGCTAGTTCTTGGAGAACCAGTAGAGGCAAGATTAGAAGTTTCCCATCTGTAGCCCCCTTGTTCCAACAGCCATTGAAGGACACCTGGGATGCATCACAAACCAAGCTCCATCCCAGAATACTTGGCTCACAGGCTGTCTGTGAGCCAGGAAGGCTTTGAACTGCTGCTCCTGGTAACTAAATGAGACTGTGATATTTTCCAGATTGGCCTACAAGGGGCCCCATTTAAACTCCTCATTCACTACACACAGCCGTATTGGCTAAGGGAGCAAAGAGAGGCAAAATCCAAGGAAATAGCCGCCTTCTCCCCACTCATTTCCCAGGCAGTCCGTCATGCTACACCTTCGGCATAGACAGCCACTGCTTCTACTGAGTGCAGCCCATCTTGCTGAACCCAGCCACGTCCAAGGAGCCCTACAGTGGACGCACCGATGGGAGAGCAGGAGGGCGAGCAAGTTTCTGTTCGAGGGAGGTGCCACGCCTGCTGCCAAGGGCTTTGGGCTTTTTCCTTCTTCAAGCACCACAGGTTCTGCTCTTCACTGGAGAATAAATACCTCATGGTGCTCAGAACAGGGCAGAGGCACACACCGCTTCCTACCAGCTGTGGCTAAGAGTTGTGCAAGGAAATAAAAACAGCCTGGTGCTCTAGATTAATCTGAAAGGAAAGTCGTATGGAGAACTCAGTACTGATGCAAGCCACGTCCTCCTGTTCAGTTGTGGGCACAGTTGGGCGCAGGAACTGGCAAACAGGGGTACAGGGTTTTTTTTTTCCTCTTGCTCAAAAATAATGCACTAATTTTTTCCAGTGTGTCACAAATGGCATGGCCAGACGAGAATACAGGAGTATCCATTCTGGTGTCCCCCAGAACGACACTAATTGAAAACATATTGCCCTCTGCTGCAATTACCCTTCTGCTAAGGAACAAGTCTATGCAGTTCAACTGTGATTTCAGCCATATTTTTTACTTGTGGTTTGGATATGCAAAAGTGACTTAGGTATGGCACAAGCACCTTGTGCAAGTCATCAGGGTTTCACTGCACAGTCTATACAGAGCCATATTCTCTTCGGGTAGATTGAGGGCCAGGTAGGGAGCTGCTGTCTCTGGATGTATTTCTGCTGGTCTAGCAGGTTACAATATTTCAGACCTCATACACAATACAAGAACCAGCCAAAGTAAAAATAATGCTCACCTCATCACTGGAAGGAATTGGTTTCTAGTACTCTAGCCAGCATCGCTTGCTAGATCACATCAATATATTCTTGTTTTTTAGTTTTGGTAATGAGGTTGTTTTAAAGTCAGCCTCTCGCACCTGCTCACAATCTTCAAGACAACTACTTGACTATCGATAAAAACAGGAACACACCCTCTCCCTTTCCTAGCACAGAGATGGTCATGCTTCAAGCCCTTTGACTCACCCTGGGAAAGCATCAACCAGGCACAGCTCAGATACAAACCTCTTCTCCCTAGCTTTGGGGCGCAGCAGAAATGACCAAGTTATCACCAGCAGCTCTCAGCTAACACATGGTGCCTCTGACTGCATCTACCTGGACACTGGATTCACCGAGAAGCTGCTCATGCCAGCCACCCCAGTTTGCAAAGGGAAATATTTAACTTGCCAGATACAGTCTTCCCTTAATCCTTCCTATTGCAAAGCTATTGCAGCAGAGGAGATGAGCAATACCTCACTGATTATGGAAGTTCTTCTGGTTTGACGCACAAGGCTCAGCCACTTTGACCTCCCTGCCACTCTCTGCAGCTTCTGCACCTGCACCAGTAGCTCAGCTCAATGCGGAGCTGGACAGTCCCACACCCGTTTCCTCCCTGCCCCTCCTCACCAAAGGCAAAAAGTTGATATATTAAAGCTTTTTCCAAAATTCTCTCTAATTTTGGGCAATGAGTTTCCAACAGCCACTTGTGAAAGTCACAACTCAGAAGCACATCAAGCTCCAGAGAGCTCAAGTTCATTGAAATTATTATGCTTTTTTATTTTTAAAGAGTTAGGCATTTCTGACTTGCTTAAAGTCACTGCCGAGGCCCGTGGCACAGCAGGACACACAAGAAATCCTGGTCCCAACCTCACCGCGCCGCCAGCTCAGCCCACGTCTGTTTGCAGAGGACTGTGCTCACCCACACAGAGGATGTTGAAGCTGAAGCCTTGTGTGACAGACTTGCTGACCAGCTGATCGGGGAGACTGTCGAAGCCGACATGGCCCCCCAGGGAAAGGTTCCTCTTCTCTTCATTCTGGTAGGGAGAAGAAGCCAGATTAGCAGAACTGCACTGAGATGGCAAGTCAGAGACACGAGAGGAACCACCAAGCCCAAGAAATAACCACCCTCCCGGGCACTGCAGAGCCACCAACACAAACTCTAACGCTGCCCGCAAAAGCCTGTGTTTTGGCACGCCACAGCGCAAACCCTCTGACAGCCACCAACATAAGAGAGAGGGGAAAAATACTGATCTTAATGGGGAATTGGGAGAACTAAGCTACCAGGCTACAAAGAAATGAAAACACTAGCATGAGCTCAACTACATGCAGCTGGGAGAGATTAGCAAAGGAAAACCCACCACCATGTGTTTTAGCACTCATTTCTCCTCATCCTTTTTTATTTTATTTTCTTAAACCCTTCAGCACTGAATTCAGCTTGACAAACTCTGCATTTTTCCCCCCCAAGTACTTGATCTTTTTCCCTCTGCTATTGCCATAAGCAGCGTGGTTTTATTCGCTCACGCGTCCAGGGGTGCTGGTTGCACAGGCAGAGCGAGGAACCCTCTTGCTTTACCATCTGTGACCACACAGTTTTCACTGTTTCTCTGCTGTTCCTGTTCCTGCCTCCCCCATATGCACTTTGTTCTTCCTTCTGCCTCCTCCCTCCCCCAGAGGAAGACGAAGCTGTTCACCTGTAGGAAACTTTGCTTAGAAACGAAGACAATGAACATCCGAGGAGACAACCGGTCTATGCCCTGTGTTACACAGAAAGGCAGCCCAGATCAACTATAATTCCTGAAGAGAGGATTCGACAGATGGGTCATTTCTGCTTCTAGTGGTTAAGAACAGTAGAATTTGGATTTGCACAAATATTTCAACAGATGTTGCCACTTCTCTACGCAACTGAGCAACGCTGTCCGAACCCAGGGACCAGAGCACTGCCCCTGCAGCCTCCCGAGCACTCTTACCCTTCCGTGGAGAAGCAAGGATACACGATTTCAGAGCATGATTCGTTCACCCTCACAGTTTCTTTGGCAAACGAGTCTGTTTTTCTTAACCACCAGCACACAGTGGAAGATGGGGACGGAAAAAGTGTCTGCTCTTTGCCTGGCTGAGGTTCTTCTGTCTGTCCCTGGTAATTCGGACTTAATGTCCCAGCACTAAGACCGTGACACAAGAGCATACCCTGAGAAGAGCCTTAGTGGGCTGTGAAACTTTAAATTAACTCAAGAGGAAAATAAAAGAAATGACGTGGTAAGCCTTGCGTATTGCTCTATGCCTGTAATAAGATTGCTAAACAAAACATGAACCTTTGTTCAACTGCATCTCGAGTCAAAGCCCCCTTTAGTTCTGCCTTTGGTAGAACAAATATTCTCAGCTTTGTAAAATAAACCGTTTATGTCACAAGAACAACTTGTGAACAGCTGAAGCAGCTCCTATGTCTCACGTACAAACCTTCTGGTTGTCCTGGTTAGCATTTGTTACCAACTTTCAGATGATTTTAGCCCAGTGCTCTCCTAAGGGACCCTCCGGACAGAAATACAACCAAATCGTAGCTGGGCTCCTGCAATCAATTCTGTTTCATCCCATCAGGATCAATCGCGCTCACTAGCTAAGCGGAAATAGCAATCATTTAAAGTTTTTCTGTGGGAGAGAGGGCACCAATTGAGTTTTTAAGGTGGCCAAGAGTTTAGGTGAATTAAAAAGGGCCCCTAAGACACAGAAACCTCCAAGTTAAACTTTCTTCTGCTCATCTGTCACCACACAGAGATGCTAAAGCTCAGACTAACACCTCTGCAGGGACAGACCCCAACCACAGGACGATTCCCCAGCACACGGGGAGAAAAGTGAGTCCGTGCTGATCCAGGCAGCCCAACGTCGAACCGCAGGTCCGGCATGGGATGGTGCAGCCGCACCGGGAAGGGGAACTTGGACACACGTGTGCTGGGAAAGGGCTCAGAGTTGTTCAGGTTTGTTCTTCCTCTTAAGGAGGAGACTGTCACAAGGCTCAGGAAGCCACTGCATGCATCAGCAGAGCTTGGGGGGGGG